TGTTATTCAACACCACCTCTACTCGGCGGTTTACTTTCGATAACTTTGCTTGGCGTTACCCCTCTCTATGCCATTACCACTACCGCGACAGCCACTACCCACTCACCGCTCTCCATCACAAAGCGCAGTACGCCATAGCAGGCACGGCGCACGGCGAGGCCCCCCAGCAGCTTGTAGCGCATGGACTCAGCCTGGGCCACGGCGCACAGGCCACGGTTGGCCACCTGAAGGGGGAGAGATGGGTTGTTGTGGGTTTCCCGGCGTGCTCATGACAAGTGGGTTGGGCTTGGAATGCAGCCCTGCACAGCTGCTGCTGCGCCGACCTTCTCAGCATACAGCTCCACAGAGCCCTCTGGGAACTTGAAGCGCTTCTGCACCACGCTGGTCAGCTCGCGAATGCGGCGGCCCTTGACGCCTGCAAGGGACAAGTGCGCCACGAGCACAACTCAACAGTTGCCAGGTGGCCACCCCACTACTTCAGGGTTCCAGTTATGTTGCCTGCAGCGCTTTGTGCTGCCCCAGCAGCGATATGCCAGTTCGGCACCCAGCCGCGTGCCACAAGCCCCAGGCCCCAGCCGCGTGCCACAACCCACAGGCGCCTCTGGCTCACCCAGCACGTTCTGAGTCCGGGTGGCGCGGATGATGACCTCAGTGCGCATGGGCGTCACCCGCACCTGCGATACACGGCAGTAGCAGAGCCGGTGGGGCTGACCGACTGAAGCCTTGTATGCGGAGCAGTGGCGCGCCAAAAGGAAGATCGTCACCGCCGCGCCCACCCAGCCGCGCCCTGCGCTCACCTCCACTCCAGAGTAGCCCTCGCCACCCAGCTCCCGCATCAGCAGCTCGTTGAGCTCGGCGTAGAACACGCCATCGGCCACGGCCTGCAGTTGCAGCCGGGAGCGGCACTCGGTACAGCTCGTTGCGCGTCGGCGGCGCTGGTTTGCACTCTGAAGCCATCGTTTGCGCTGGTTTGCACACTGGAGTCGTTGCCTCCGCTTGTTGGTGTTGTGCGCAAGCAGAAAGGCCCCAGGCGGCCCGTCCACCATGTCGCTCGTCATGCAAGCGCATGGCTGAATAAGTGTGCTGTATCAGTGCTGCTTTGGTGTGTTGAGCTAGCCCGAAGCCTGGTTGCACGGGCGACCCTCTCCGCATCGGCTGCGCGGTGCAGCTCCCCACCTTTCTGGTCTTGCTCACAGCCGATGCCATGCTGAGTGGACGTCTGAAAGAGGCCTGGGCAGGCGGGGGCGCGTTGAAAGGCTCGTGGCCCAGGCCATTGACCCTGGAAGGGGACACCTCCAGTTGGGTCAAAGCAGTGGACTGAGTGATTACCAGCAAGCTCACAATCTCACTGACTTGACCTCTTACGATTGCTTTCATTTAAAGTCTATGGCTCATCAAGCCCCCATGCCACTGCTGCGCTAGCCAACAAGGGCGGACACCATGCCCTGCACCCCCATGAGCTGCTCCTGTGTTCGCAGCTCCTCAGCGACCGCCCCTTCCAAGCGCTCCAGGTGCTCCAGCCCCACGCCACCCGCATCGAGCGTGGCGGGGCAGCTACTGAGCAGGCGCTCGGCCATGGCGATGGCAGTCCTGGCGTAGAGTGGCCTGCCCAGCTGGCTCCTGCAGTGCTGAAGCAGGGCAGCCGCAAGCTGTGCGGGCGCTGCAGCCAACGTGGCTTCCAGCGCGCGTTGTCGCCACAAAGCCTCCACCACGCTCTCTATAATCTGCAGCGGTGCAGCATGCAGCGGTTGCCTGAACATAGCTGGATGCGCCCTCACACTGGCAGCATGCAGCCGGCATTTCTGCAATACATGGTACTATCGCAGGATTCATGCAATGGAACCAACCTCATGTTGATGGGTCGCCAGCGCAGCATCCAATGCGTCGGAAAACCGAAACTTCAGGAGCAGCTCCTCATGCCGGGGTACCGAAACCTGCGGGCAACCATTCATTCAGCCGGTATCAAACCATGCCGAGGGCACAACAAGCAGTGGCTCCTGAGGTGCACAGGGGCAGCTTGGAGGGAGGGGCATAGCGTCGCAACAGCGGCCCAGCAATGAAATCCTCACCTTTGACTGCGCGGCCACTGCGGAATCCATGTGTAGGGGCCGTTGCCCCAGTTTAGGAGCCGCATAGTGCGAACGTGCACCGACCACGCGCTGAGGCCTCCACCTGCAGGCATAGAAACAACACTACAACCTGGGTGCACGCCATCATGTGCTCGCTGCAACTGGCGGGGTTGGAAAAACGAGTGTTGTCACTGATGGGTGCCGGCTGATGGCAAAAAACTCAGCAGGATGGCAAAACAAGGTGTGCCTGGGCGTGAGTTGGGCCAACTGCCCCAGGCGTAAGGCCGTACCGCAACCGTGTCGGTTCTGCTGCAGGGGATCCCTGATGCCTTCTACGGTGAACAGACAGCGTGCCATCAGCCATGCCGGCAGCCAGCAGGTCACCAGTGGGGGATGCGGCTATGGAGAGGACAGGGACAGGGTACTTGTGCACAGTGAAGGGCCGATAAGTCTCCGCGTCAATCACCTGCAATAATTGACAGCGGTGTGGTTCTGCATTGTGCTCGCACTGTGCCAGGCCTATACACATGATGGCAACCTCCCGCGAAAGAACATTGCAGCTGGCCACAGAAGGACCCAGGGAGCACAGTGGCAGAAGTAAGCTGCCCCAAAATGTCCTGCAGTGCCGCCAGTGTCGCCTGGTGCTGGCGCCGGCAACAAAATACTCCTACCCTGATGTGGCCATCCAAGCCAGCCGATACTACGTGCGGCTCTGCCCCCAAAATTGGTGCTACTAGCACACTGGTCGCTGTTTTCTGGTGCGCCGTAATACGTTGCACCAACCGCCCGCTGCCCAATGTTTGCCAAATGCAGATGTCTGTGCCGCCCGCCGTCACCAGCAGTGCCCCTGAAACACACAAGGGGCCAGGCCGAGGCAGTGCTGCTATCTTCGCAACCAATAGCAACCCTTTGGCGACACACTCCACATCAATCAGTCGTGCCAGGGGGGGGAGGGTGTCTGCTGCAGCACAAGTTTCCATGTCGGCGAGATGCAGCACACCTGAAGGGAAGAAAGCAACGGACTCAATGGGTGCCCCATGGTCCACGCCAGCCAGGCACCGCTTTTGCCGCACATCCCACAGCTTGCAGATGTGGTCATACCTGCAGGTCCAAGAAGGGGCGTGGCTTGCCGGCAAGCTGTGTGTGGCTGCCCAAGAGAATTCAGGCGCAAGCAGACACAACACAGGGGGAACCAAACACCGCACCCGCTGGTTGCCCACACATCTGGATTAGCTGGGCTGCCAGCTGCTGACCGGACGTAATCGGTATGCCCACGCAGGGTGCACACCTGCGCCAGGCAGTAGGGCACGAGGGATGCATGTTGAACAAGTTCATGGACTGTGGTGCACTGAGTCGGCAGGCAAGAGGGGCTGCACTGCTTGCTGCCACACTGGATGTGGCAGCTGAGGCCTCGGCCCTCACCTGCTGCCCCGAGGTGACGTCCCAAAGCGCCACAAGCCCGTCGTCGCCGCCCGTTATGACATGCTGGCCCTCTGCAAACTTGGCCACGTGCACCGGCGCCTTGTGCCCCTTGAACTGTCGCAGCAGCGTTCTGCTGCTTGAGTCAAACACCTGCGAGCAGTTCTGCGTGGCAGGTCTATGAAGGTGTCCAGCTGGCGTCGTGCCTCAACAGCCCCGCGGGGCCACCCCATTCTGCGTGCCTGCACCACAGAGTCCTCGCCGCCCGCCACAATCAGCCTGCCATCCTGACGGAAGCTGCCGCTGTAGGCTCTGTCCTTGAAGCGGCCAAACTGGCGCTTGGCGGCGGAGGTGGCGCCATTGTACACGTGCAACCGCGTGCCCGCCGAGACGCAGTAGTCGTGCGGTGCGGCGCCGCAGACGTCGATGCTGCTCACGGCGCCGATCAGCTGCATGCCCTGCTGCCTGAAGGGCCAGCAAGGGCGCGCAGGCTGCTGCATGTCCACTGCCTGGCGGTGTAGTTGGCGCCGCTTGAGGTGGTGGAGGCGCAGCTGCAATTCGAGGCGCGGCTGTAATTGCATTGGTGCACTTGCCCGACTTGGTACTGCGCAACCGTACTGCTGATTTGTTTTTTCTGAAGTCCTTCATGCACCGCGTCATTGATTGATCCCCCTGTCGGTCAACCTGCCTGCTGCCTTGCCGGCCTGCTCTTCGGTACTAGAGGATTGACGCGATCACTCAAGCCGATTGCGCTTCGCCAGCGAGCACAGGGCCTGTCTGCTTCGTCCTCAATCTCCCACAGCCCTTGAACGAGCTTGCGCTGGAGGGAGCCTTTGCGCTTCCCCGTCCCATTCCACTCACTGCACGCCCACAAGACCAAACAGGTAGCAACCGTCAAAGTGAGCTGCATGCGCCGCGTTCCAATGGACTGCCCCGCCTACTGCTTCCCGCCAGTCACTGGGCACTGGGCAGTCCTGGCAGCGTATCCCCGTGACGCTCCCTCGCAGCTGTTTCAGCTCCATGGAGCGCTATCAAACGTTAGGTCGCATCGGCGAGGGTACATACGGCGTGGTGTTCAAGGCAAAAGACAAGGTTTCGCAGCGGGTGCTGGCCTTGAAGCAAATCAGGTGGGGGGGTGGGGGGGGGCAAGGTGCTCTAGTGAGCATTCCCTGCAGTTCCAGAACCGGATTGCTGGGCCTATTTCTTGAATTGCTTCCAAGTACTGCTTGCGAGCTAGCCTTGGAAGAGATGGCAGCTTCCAGTTTCTCTCAAGGCGTGATGGGTGGTTTTGCAGGTTGGAACAGGAGGAAGAGGGCGTGCCCTCAACCGCAATTCGGGAAATTTCGCTGCTGAAAGAGCTGAACCACGAGAACATCGTGTGGTGAGACTGCTGCCGCTGTTGCCACTCCTTGGTTGTCTTGCATGTGTGCGGGGAGAACACCACAGGAAATTCAGCCAAATTTCAATGCTCTCGACCCCCGTCTCTTGCAGCCTGGAGGATGTTGTGCATGAGGACCGCAAGCTGTACCTGGTATTTGAGTTCCTGGACGTGGACCTCAAGAAGCACATGGACTCCAATCCGCAGGTGTACCTGGACCAGACAGTGGTGAAGGTGCGGCAGCTTAAATTTAGCGCTTTTCTGAGTTTGCTTGTGCTTGCTGGGCGAGCGTCAACTACCTGCACTGCGCTGCAAGCCTCCCCGTAATGGGTAGACATTGAATGTACCCTGGCACTCGACTGTGCTCCTGCAGCACTTTCTGTACCAGATGCTGCAAGGAATAGCGTACTGCCACTCGCACCGGTATGATTCATCTGTGTGTAGCGTGCAGCATCATTGGGATGTCGCTGCCCATCTCTGACTGCAGCTGTGCGTCTGGGTGCGTGTTCTGGGCTGCCTGCAGCATACTACACCGCGATATGAAGCCACAAAACCTTCTGATCGACCGCATTACCAACACCATGAAGCTGGCGGACTTTGGGCTGGCACGTGCGTTTGGCATCCCTGTCAGGCAGTATACACACGAGGTACATTGCTTTGACTTGTCGATCTGCGTACCACTACCCATCTCTCGAGCAGCGTGGCCGAGCCGGAACCATGGCTAGGGGCCACATGCAGGTCATCACGCTGTGGTATCGCGCGCCAGAAATTCTGTTGGGCATTAAGCACTATTCGACCCCCGTGGACCTGTGGAGCATAGGCTGCATTTTTGCAGAAATGGTCAACCAAAAGCCGCTGTTTCCTGGCGACTCGGTGCGCAATGGCTGACGGCAGGGGTCTGCCAGGGGGGTTTATGCCGCTCTGGGTCCACAGGGGCGCTGATCCCCACGCAGTCGCTTCGTTGCCATCAAACAAATGTAGGAAATTGACGAGCTGTACAAAATTTTTCAGGTGCTTGGCACCCCGTCGGAGGCCAACTGGCCAGGCGTGTCGCAGCTTCCTGACTACAAGGTGGGCAAAAGTGACCAGGTGCCTTGCTTGCTGCAGTTCGTTTGCGACACCGCCCCAGGCTCAGCCAGCATTCGTGCGCATATGCATGCAGGACTGCTTCCCTCAGTGGCGACCGCGCGACTTGCAGTCAGTGGTGCCCACTCTAGATCCACTTGGCATTGACCTGCTGGCTCGGCTACTGCGGTACAATCCCTCCGAGCGCATCACAGCACGTGCAGCGCTTGAGCACCCCTGGTGAGTCCATGGCCGCGATAGGGAGGACACACAAAGCTCAGCACGCCTTGGCAGTTGGCAGATGAGGCTCCCTCACGCCTCCTCCTGTGCAGGTTCTCCTGAACAACTGTTTGCCTCCAAAATCTCGATCACCCCGAGTGTCTCTCCATGTTTCTCTCCCCAAGTTCTCTTCGCCTTGATGAGCTCCGGCCAGTTGTGTGTCCGCAACGAACTGATGGCTGGCATTTGTGTCAATGATTCGACGGCATGGTAGTTGTCCAATCTGGCATTTGTGTCCAGGGCGCCTCATCTGTCCTGCTACAGGCCTTGTTCAAATGCACCACATGCTGATCAAGTAGGGAGCTGCCTGGGCTTGTCAAAATCCTGGCGCTGCTGTCGAGGCTGACGGATGGCCTCTGCCGCGGGTGCTGCCTGCATCGTGTCTTCAGCCAATAGGTGCTGCCACTTGGTGCGGCCCCGTCTTCCAAAGTTGCGGACCTGCAGACAACAAGGTGATTCAAAGCATCAAGGTGCAGTAACGTTGACTGAGAGACTCTGGTAGACGGGGCTGTCATGAAGTGGCCCCAAGTGGTTGAATTTCAACAAATACAGTGACGCCAGCATAACCGAGCTCCGCGCACCTGCATAATCTGTGGCAGCATCTGCTTATCAAACTTGTCCTCGCCGGTCGGAGCATCATAGTCGCGACGAAGGATGTCGCCCAATATGCTGTCGCCTGCCTCATCCTCGCCCTGGAAGAATGCTCCCTTGTGCCAGTATTTCTGCAACAACACGATGCCTCATGCCTTCGGTATAAGCAAAGGCAGGGGGAGTAACCATCACTTGATCGCCATAGCAGCTTGCCTGCAAAAACTTCCACTTCTTCTTTGGCGGCGGAACCGCGGCAGCTGGCACGCTGGAGGGCGCTGCCAAAGCTGCCTCTGCCTTGGCACCCGCCTGCCGCAAGTTCCTGCGAAAACAACAGCCAAAGCAAAGGTGGCTTCTAATCCCATGTTTGCACTCGCAGACATGGCAAGGACGAGCCATATCGGGAAGCCCTCGCAGCATGCGATGCACACCTGTCACGTGCAATGCGCTGAAGCTCCCGCTCCCTCCAAGCCTCATACTGTGCAACCTCATCCTCCTGGTCGTCATCCGTATTCAAGTCAGAAGCATATTGCGTGGGTGCATCCTGAAGCATGCAAGCAGTAAGCCACCCACCGCCAGTCACTCCCCATTGCCTGCCCTATACCTGCCCCTTGCTGGCCCTTATTGACGACTATGGTGAACCGCCAAGAGTGGCAGCCAGAGGGGCCACAATGGAAAGACAAGATCCCCTGCCGCAAAAAAATGCAAAAAAAGTAAAAAAAGTGCTGGAAATCCTGGCATACCTGCGGCGCATCCTGCGCCTGCTGCTGCGTGACCAGCGCGTGGGTCTGGCGCTTGCGGTCTTCCAGCTGCTCGGCCTGCTGCCTGGTTGTCTGCTCCGACTGTGCTAGCAGGACCTCCCGCTCTGCCAACGTCTGAAGCACCAAGGTAAGGAGCCGGAAGGGCGGCACGGTGGTGGGGGAATTGCCAAACCAGGGGGGGGGGGCATGGGTTAGGGATCCGCATGACAGTCCAGCAGCCCAGGAGGAGACCACAGGTTGCTGCGGCTGCAACGTCACCAGCAGCATCCTGCCATGCTCACCTCTCGCTCTGTTTTGGGAACAAAAGCAGGCTTCAGCATCACTGGACCACGCTCATCTTCGCTGTCATCGCCTGTCATGTATTCAGAGCTGTCCTCGGAGCCCTGCACCAAGCAATCACGTGCCGTCCTCAACACGTGCATATGCTTGCACGCGGGTGTACAAACCGTACGGAGTGGCGACGACGTCTACAAGGCGGCCACGCACAAATGGTGCAGTGCACAGGGGCCACGCTCTCGCACCTCCTCCTCAGCGCTGTCAGCCCCGATTGCTGCTGCGGTCGCCAGCTGCCGTGCACGGATCGCCAGCCTGCGCCTCGCAATAGCCTCCTCGTCCTCCTCCTCCTCGTTGTCGGCGGCAACCGGCACGCCTGCAACAGCCGCCTCGGCCTGGGGCAGCTCTCTGGCATCGGCGGCGTCTGGAGAGCACGCTCGGCGCCTTCGCAGCACCACCGCCACGCTCGCATCACGGTGACCCAACTGCGGCTGCCTCTGCTGCAACAGGCGTGCCAGCCTGGGGTCAGCTGCGCGAGTCGCCGTTGCGGTGTCCGGCACAGTCGCAGGCAATTCCGCTGCCTCTTTAGTGGGTGCTGCGTCATCTGCTGCCTCTTGTTCTGCCCACTCAGGCCGCTTGCCCGCCCAATACCTGCAGGGGGGAGGCCTGGAAGCTGTGGTTGCCGCGGCCACAAGCGAACCGCTCAGCCAGCTAGGCCCGCTGAGACGCCTCGCCTGCTGCCCTGCAGCCCCCAAATTTACCGTTGCTGCCGATGCTTCATTTTATTGGACCCACTGGCACGCCGAGCAAGGCGTCCAGCTTGAAGTGAGCGCGGCTTGCACAGGTTGAAGAACAGACAGAGAGAGAACACTCAATTCCTCCCTCTCCATCCGGGGCAATGGTTCAGGCAGTACGAGCTGCAGGACTGCGGCTGGACTTCAGCTCTCTGAATGTTCACCGTGGACGTGTGGCACAGCTCTTCTTCTTCTTCTTCTTCTTCTTCTTCTTCTTCTTCTTCTTCTTCTTCTTCAACGACAGAGATCACCTTCTCCCGGCAATTCCGAGCCCGGGTGCCCCCGTGGATCTGCAAATAGCCAGCCGGAACACCGGCATGGAGGTTTGCGTTGGCGACGTGATTGAGGCGCACGCCCCTGACACTGTCCTGCGCGGCCACGGCACGTTGCTACGGCACGGCAGCCTGGTTGCCAGCCGATGCGGCAGGGTGCAGCGATGGAACCAGCTGGTGTTGGTGCAGCCGCTGGCGGGGGCCTACACCGCTGCTGTGGGCCACGTCGTCGTGGGGCGAATTGTGCAGGTGCCGGTGCAGTGTCTGTGGGATGGGTTTGGGCGGAGATTCTCCTGTCTTGCCCACCGTGGTCTTGCCCATCACGCTTCCCCAGAGACATGTGACAGTGATCTGCACGGAGGCATACAGACATACGCACACAGTGCAGGTGGAGCCCACACGCTGGCTGGTGGACATCCGGGCCACAACGTTGGCAGTCCTGCCGCTGTCGACGGCTGGTGGGGCGGTGCGGAAGGCAGCTGTGGGTGCTCTGGACGCGCGCTCTATCCTGGTGGAGGGGGACCTGATCGCGGTAGGGGCAGCTGCTGCATGCTGCGTGCCTCCCTTGGTGCTGCAAGGCCACCAAGCTGCGTTCTTTGAGGGTGTGCAGGCGGAGGTGCAGACCGTCCGTGCCGATGGCCAGGTGCAACTCCATGTCCGTGACGCTGTGGCAAGCAAGCTGCCCCCCGGCATGCTTGTTGACATCCCGGCAGCCTTGGTGCGGCCTCAGCGCAAGCATGTCCATCGTTGGAATGCAAATGGTGGGACGGGCAGCCTGTGGCAGTGGCACCTGTGTGGCAAGGGGATATGTGGGCTACTTGAACAAAACCCCGCTCACCCGAAGCCCAATGCACAGTTTCTTTACGGGTGTGTTCACAACGGCGCACATTTACATCACTATTGCCCGCTCCAACTCCAGGTATTAGAGCCATTTTTGGGTGCAATGGAGCAATATGGGTTGGCATCGATGGCACCAGCGGCGCCGTTCGAGCAAGTCAAGTGCAGGCGGCTGTGCAGATGGCTTCGACAGTGCAGGCGTTGGCCAGGTTGGGCCAAACAGTGTCCTTCACGGCTGTTCAGCGTGCAACTGGTGTGTAGTGACAAATTGGGAGCGCCAGCTCAGGTGCATGGGAGGGATTCCCCTGCTGGTTAAGCAGTGGAGCCATCTGCTTGGCTGTCAACTTCAAGTTGCAATGGAGTTTGAGCCTTTTCATGGATCGGTCCCAATGGGCAAAAAATATGTTAATGTGGCTTCTTAGCCAACTACCCTGCAAGAGGAAACGTATGACAGCCGTGGTCTCAAACTCCGCCTGAAGCGTTCTGGTTTATGGAACAATTGTCAAGCAAATATTGTGTGATCCTGCGTACCAGGTGGCGCCTGCGCTGGCAACACTTGCCAATCCATGAGGCCACGGCGAGCTGACGGTGTTTACTTCGGTGAATATGGCCAGCGCGGCCTGGATATCTTTTTGCTGGAGGTGTAAGGAAGATAAGAACAGCCAAGGATTGTCCGTTGTGACAAGCTGAGGTTCTTGTACACTTATGGTGATCACGAAGGGTTCATGGGCGGCTGCAGCCAAGAGTGAAACACAATTGAGATTTTTTCAAGTAGAGTCTACCAGCCCAAAACCAAATCAATCGATTGTAAGTGCACAAAGGAAGCTCTGACCCAGTTTTAACAATATCCTCTGCAGATGTGTGTTTAGCGCTGTTCAGCGCTTCGAAAAGCGATCGAATAATGTTTCGTTGCCGGTAAACCTCGTACTAATTGTTAACTCCACGTATGGAAGGAGAGGAGGTGGCGGGCTGGGTGGAGACGGGCTAGGTGGTGGTGGGGAGCGAGGAGACGGAGAGGGCGGCGGCGGTGAAGGTGGTGGCGGGCTGGGTGGAGGCGGGCTGGGTGGTGGTGGGGAGGGAGGAGGTGGAGAGGGCGGCGGCGATGAAGGTGGCGGCGGTGAATTTATAATTCTATAATGCTTAAACAGGCGCTCCGCAAAGAGTTGACCACCACGCACTGCACAGCAGTACTCTTCGCTGTGCTGAAGCAGCCAGTGCAAGTGCTGTGCTCAAATGTGTCCCAGAGTTGTCAAGGTCAATGCTATGCCATAGGCCTTCCTATTTTCCATGAACAGCGACTTGCCGATGCCACAGGCCAGGCTGCCTAGTGCTGCCCCTGATGTGGACGAAAAATTGGTGTTGCAGGTAAACCAGCCCGGCAGGTGCCTCAGTCCTCGGCTGATGAACGATGCCTTGCAGTGTTGGGCCATGCCTTTCGATGTGTAAGCCCAAGCCAAGCTAATCACATACAGGAGCTGCTGCCAATGCTGCTCGTTCTCTGATATCGATGCTGTTTGTTTTGACACCGTGAAAGCTGGAGCGACTCCACAAAGTGTGGCATGGTCGACACGGTTATGCCAATGCTCAGGCTCCACGCAGAGAATATGGTCCGCTGTCGCAATGCTCATCAGAGCATGCAGGTGAACCTTGCTACTTCCAACTAGCTCAGAGGCGACAGTTGGGCGATGTATCATCCATATGGGGGTGTACCAGTATGTGAAGCTCGTACTGTGCACGTCATCAGCAGCTGTAACGTTGCAAATCGATGAAAGTGCCACATCGTCAATACCAACTAGCAGCCACATTGAATCACTGCAACGGTTTCACCAGCAATGGCGACATTTCAGTGATGCTCCTGTCCTGCTGGGCTGATATATGGCACGATTGACAGCATCACATGACCACAGATCTTGCTTACCGTACGTCTGCTCTTCTGGGTTCCATTCGTTTCCAGAACCCTGTATAGTCATTTTTTGGCTTCATATCCAAATCAGCAGATGTCATCGCCCCAAATTGCACGCCGCAGGGTGATACAGCGCCACTCCATGTAGAAGGGGTCTCCGCTGCTTTCAGCGCCTTAAATTGATTGCTCAAGGTTGCTAACAACTGCTGCCTCAAACTGAGGAGCCATGTGTTGCTACTCCCTCCATCCTGCATTACTGCAGCTCCTACGGCAGCGCTACTAGCTGCCAGTCGGCGCATGGGTGCGTATGCCCCGCACGCTGCCAACACTGCTCCACCCACTGATCTAATCTGTGATTGTGACGCAACCGTGGCTGTTAACTGCAGCGACGCGTCTGCGACAGCAGGGTGGATCCAGCAACTGCTGTTACGGTGCTCTTTAACACAGCCTGAACCAAACAGTGCCCAGGTTCTCTTTCTGTCTATTGGATTGAACAGGGATGCCATCCCATTCAACTCAGTTGGGCCGTGGGGTGGCAGGTTGGTTGCTCGGTTTGCCCCTTGCGACTCCAGCAACCAAGCATCAACTGACAAAACGTCAACCTCCAGCCGGGTGACTGCAGTGTCAATGCCTTGCAGGCGCCCGTGAATATGAGCAGCTGCTTCCCCACTGGGCAGAATCCCGCTGCCAACTATTATGCCACCGCTGGCCGGGCTGATGTCGCAATTTAACGTGGGACTAACAGTGCCATCCAATAGCAATGCCGGTTGCTTGATGACCAAAGCGGTAGTGCCACTGGATTGTTTATCTCTTCCTGTGACCACAGGAGCTGGCCCGCCGCAGCAGCCATTTCTAACAGCACCGTGGGGGCCACCAGTGCCTGGCCGCACACGCTGTGCTGCAACAGGTAGGAAAGAACCGGCCGCTGCAGACTGCACTGCATGCGAATGTTTGCTAGTGCCGTGGCAGTGGCTGTGCCTGACTGGCCACGGCTGAACTGTGATAGCAGTGGGTAACTGCTGATCTGGTACCACAGTCGCCTGCGCTGCCACAACCAAGTCTGGGGAGCGGTACAAGACATGGGGCATGTCATACCTAGCACAGCGTGCGAGTTGGTGCCTTGATATGCGAAGGAGCTTACACTGCCATGCATCTCAGGGGTGCTGCAAACAAGGGACTCGTCAGGCCAGTAAGAATGAATGGACCCGCTCCGGTACCCCAACACTCGGGTTCCATTTTGCAATCCATCTATGTGACGACTAACGCATATCGGGCCTGTGCAGCAGCGACCTACCTATGAAGCACGGGGGCGCCTCGTCGGCGCGCCAGCCACCCGCGAGTACCTGATTGGTGAGCGTAGCTCTGAAGCACACTGCTCACGTGGGGGTTGACTGTGCGCAAGTGCAGGATGTCACGCCTGCAGGCAATGAAACATGAGGTGTGATCGTGACGAGTTTGTTTTGTTCTTCAACTTTGTTTTTGATGATAGCAGTGAGATATGTATCCATCACTGAATATGATGGAGTAGTTATATAGATTTGTGTTTGGTGGTAGCCAGCATCCATGAAGTCAAAAAGAAATTGACAGCTCACACCTGCCCATTTCACCCAAGTGCAGTGAAAGGGCAGCAACGCCCACGGCACCAGCAGCAGGCTCAGTGTGTAGAACACGTGACTTGGCAGCTTGAAGTTCCAATGGATGATTGCCAACAGTCTGCAAAAAACTTAAGTTGTGTGGGAGCTAAAAGACCACGGTACCCTGCCTCTGCCAGGTGATTGTCTTGCAGGTAGATCACCTGAAACACAGCAAATGCCGCGCCCACTTCAATGGGGTCGCCCAAAGCGGTACCTGTGCCGTGCATCTCCAGCATGCTGACGTCTGAGGCTGCCACACTGTTGCACGCCAGCGCTTCCCTCACTACAGCTTGCTGGCTGGGCCCGTTGGGAGCTGTCAAGCTGCTGCTCCGCGCAGTGCCGAGGATGATGGCAGCCGGCAGCAGTACCGAGCCTGCAACGCCATCTGAGGCGGGCAAGGGCCTCCAAGACGTGCACTATGCACGCCTCGCCGCGCATGTAGCCATCAGCAGCAGCATCAAGCGTCTTGCCCGTCGCCAGCGAGCATGCCTGCCTTGCTGAGCACAGCGGTCGTCTCGGCACACATGGTCAGATTGACGCCAGCTGCTAGTGAGCGGTAGCAGCCGCCGGGGATGAAGGATGTGCAGGCCAGATGGGCGCCCACCAGGGACGAAGCGCACGCAGTGTCGATGCTCACGCTGGGACCATGAAAAACAATGGACAAGCAGGGCAGTCTGATTTTTGGCATTAAGGGTGGGCAGGGTAAGAGGCGTCACGAGCGCGCACGGGAGTTGTAGGGCAGGCAGGGCGAGAGGGGTCACGAGCACGCGCGGGAGTTATGCCGTTGCAACCGCCTCTTGTCAGTTGCCAGTAAGCATGCGCAATGGACCCCACTTACGATATGCTCGCGTCCTCTAGGCGGCACTGCTCACCTTTAGTCCCAGGGTGAATGAGATGCGTCCGCACACCACTGAAAGCATGCCACTGGTAGCGGTGTAGGCTGACATACCCTGATGTGCAGAGTTGAGGTAGTACTCGTTGTAGCTGATGCCCACGCCCCCACTGCCCTGGCGTCGTCGCATGCCTCCCTGGCGCCACTGCCTGGTGTGCCATCGCCTCCCAGTAGCCCTGCTGGGCATTAATGGCAGTGGCCTGCACATGGGCCAACAAATGGAATATGCTGTGGGAGTCACCAGGGGCGGGGGTTGGGATGTGCGAGCGTGAGAAACACATCGAGGCACATCGAGGCACATCGAGTGCACATCAAGTGGAGGGGAGTCCTCGGCAGCGAGCGAGCGTGAGGGGCACATCGAGAGGGTGATGCAGTGGGTACAGCAGCTTTCAGCGGCAGCAGCATGCCTCTTGCGAGGAAAGAGCAAAGAACTTGTAGTCGAACAGTTCGGCCCCCTCCAAAATGCTACCAAATCGCTTGGGCAAGGAGCCCTCTCCCAGCCACCCGATATCCACATCCCACCGGTCGGGCGGCACCTTCAGCCACCCAAAAAGACATCATTCTTGCGAAAACCAAGCTGCCCCTTTTGATTAAAAGCAACGGCATCCCTCGCCAGAGGTACACTCACCACACGGAGGCATCGCTGAAGGCATTAAAGGGTGGCCCTCGCCACACCACGCCGGCAAGCAGCACAGCACGGGGCAGTCTTGGCGGCTCCATGGAGCGAATTGGAGGCTCCTGCAGCGGGTTGAGCACACAAACGTTGGGCAGCGGGTTGAGCACACCAGCTGTAAACCAGAGCTTGCAATGATTCCATGGTTCCATGAAGTCCAAGGGCCACCCCCCTTCCCGCACCCGGCGGGTTCTTTTGCAGCAGCTCGCACCTGGAGCGAGAGCCCATCGTCGAGATCATCCAGGAAGCGGGCGATGGTGTCGTCGTCCAAGCCGACGCCGACCAGACCTCCGGCCGCTCCCCACATCGCAACAACACGTCGAACCGGGCCGAGTAACGTGTGTTTTGTCCTGAGGTCCGCAGCGAGGTGTAGTTCAGCAAAGGCAGTACACCGCGGGCAGCGAGTTACTCATTATGAGTGCAACGCGTCTGTTTTGTAAGCCGTGCGCTAGTCTAACAGCCATGCTGTCGCTTGCTCAGCGTCGTGTCGTTGGGCTAGGGTCACACCTCTCCCTTGCTCGGGGCCTAGCTGCTGTAGCGGCGGATCAGGTGTGGACAAGCCCGGTAGCGTTGGGAAACCTATGGGCACGCCCCGATCATGTCTCGCGCAACTCGCGATGCCCCTGAAACCCGTTGCAACCACCGCAGGGCGTCAAGGATGTCGTCATTATTGGTGGAGGGCCGGGAGGCTATGTGTCCGCCATCAAAGCGGCACAGCTGGGGCTGAAGGTGGCCTGCGTCGAGGGGCGGGGCGCGCTGGGAGGCACGTGCTTGAACGTGGGGTAAGGCGGCCCTCGAGACCCTAGACGCCCTAGAGGCCCTAATCGCAACTTGTTCTCCCTTCCGGCGAGCGGTTGCGATAGACATTTGTATTTTGTTTTATGCCATTTCCCTGCAGGTGCATTCCGTCCAAGGTGACTTTTTCTTGGGCTCCTTTCACTGTGACTGAGGGGTGGTGCACAATGTAGGATGTGTGGCGGGGCAGACGTGTGGAATGCAGCTCGGCAGTCATGCACTGTTTGCCCCCTGCCCCACCCACCCACCAAACACACACACACGCACGATTGCACGTTCCCCAACCACACGGGTATCCAGGCTTTGTTGCAATCCAGTCACATGTATGCGGAGGCCAAGCATGCATTCAAGAAGCACGGAGTGCTGGTCGACGGCCTGGCGGTGGACGTGGCTGCAATGCAGCAGCAGAAAGCGGCAGCGGTCGACGGTCTCACCAAGGGCATCGAGGGTCTGTTCAAGAAGAACAAGGTTGGTGTGTGCCTCCTTGCATCAACCCGCCGTGCCCGCTGCGTGGTCTTCCCTCGAGTGTGGCTGCCACCTTGCATGTACGGCTGGATGGCCTTCCCTGCACACATTCAGGTGGAGTATATTCGGGGGTGGGCCAAGATCAAGAGTGCCACAGAGGTGGAAGTCAGCACCTCGAGCGGAAGCACCACCATGGTCTCCACCAAGAATGTCATCATTGCCACTGGCTCGGAGGTCACGCCGCTGCCTGGAGTGCCCGTTGACGAGCGCCGGTGCGACCACGCCTGCCAGCAGCCTGAGGTTGAGCCTGCTTCACAGCGCTACGCTAGGTTGAGTGCACTCCCTGGTCGTCATCCAAAGTCCCCCCACCCCACCCCACCCCACCCCGCCGCCCCCGGCCTGGCTTGCTGTGCTGCAGCATTGTCTCCTCCACTGGGGCGCTGAGTTTGGAGCAAGTGCCGGGTAGCATGGTCGTAATTGGGGGCGGCTACATTGGTCTGGAGCTGGGGTCAGGTAGGTGATGATCAATGAGAGACAGCACGGCGCTAGTGCTACCCATTGAGGCACGACTGTTCTGTTTGCCCCGCTGCCGCCTGTTTCCTTTGAGGCTTTGTTTTTGCGCTTTCGTAGTGTGGGCTCGTCTGGGCGCGGAGGTAACAGTGGTGGAGTTTCTGGACCATATTGTGCCTACCATGGTATGCCCTGGAATGCTCAGAAAACAGGCGCTGCTCCTTCCCGCAGCCGTCAGTAGCCGGGTCAGGCTGAAGGAGCCTGCTCCTCATTTTTTATGGCGAGAGCATCTTCTGCAGTGACGGTGCCCATATCTGTGCAGGATGGCGAGGTGCGGCGGGCCTTCCAGCGTTCGCTCCAAAAGCAGGGCCTGAAGTTTAAGCTGAGCACCAAGGTGTGTGGGACAATAATTGCCACACAGCATCAACCTTGCAATACAAGCCTTTCATCGCGATTCCCCACGCTTCACGTTCGTATGTCTGCTACAGGTGGCCAGCGCAGAGGCGGATGGAGCGGGAGTGCGACTGGAGCTGCAGCCATCCAAAGGAAATGGCGACAGCGAGACAATGACTGCGGATGTCGTGCTGGTGTCCACAGGTATCCATGGCACTTGAATCATGCCACAGGCTGTAGATGGCGTCAGATCAATCGCAGGCTCACCTGTTTACTTGCATGCACGGCCACGAACTGCCCTATCTGCCTGCCTGACCGTTGCTGTTGGCCGTGCAGGCCGCCGGCCCTTCACCAAGGGCTTGAATCTGGAGGGCGTTGGTGTATCTACAGATCCCCGTGGGAGCATTGTGGTAGATGAACACTTCCAAACCACTACCCCCGGCATTTATGCCATCGGGGACGTGATCCCAGGGCCCATGCTTGCCCACAAGGTATCCCCAGGGTGATCGCTACGTTTGGCGAGGTCGAGTCTATGGGTCGCCGTGATCACTGGACCACGCCCCCCCTGGCCCCCCCCGGCCACCCTTGTCCCCGCCCTGCAATGCCTCTCTACCTTTGTGAATCCTGCAGGCAGAAGAGGATGGCGTGGCCTGCGTCGAGCTGTTGGCGGGGCGCAGCGGGCATGTGAACTACAATACGGTACCCTCGATTGTGTACACTTGGCCAGAAGTTGCCAGCGTGGGCAAGACCGAGGAGCAAGTCAAGGCGGAAGGCATCAACTACAAGGAGCGCAGCATGTGCCCAGCCTGCACATGGTTGCCTCTCAGTCCGTGCGTCTGGTGGCCAACACTTCTTTCGAGGGATGCCATTTCTTTCACAATTTTGCAGGTGGGAAAGTTTGCCTTCATGGCCAACAGCCGCGCGCGGAGTGTGGACGACACCGAGGGACTGGTCAAGTTCATCTCTGATGCCGCCAGCGACAAGATTCTCGGGGCGCACATAATGGGGCCCAATGCAGGCGAGCCGTGGCATGGCACAGGGCTCCCTGGCAGCCGCTGGGGGACAGGATCCAAGTGGCACTCAATATGGCACCGACGTTTCTGGGGTTTGCGCAGGCGAGCTCATTGCGGAATGCGTGCTGGCCATGGAGTATGGCGCCTCGACCGAGGACATTGCGCGCACCTGCCATGGCCACCCCACTCTTTCGGGTAGGGAGGCAATTGCGCCGTTGCTGCCAGCACATGCAGGATGTTGTTTGGATGGCAGGCAGGCAGTCAAGCAGGCATTGCCGCTGGCTGCATGTCCCGCATCGTTAGCAGCCCTGACAATCTATTGGCTTGCTGATGGGGTGCAGAGGCTGTCAAGGAAGCAGCCATTGCCACAGCTTTTGGGAAGGCGATTCATTCATGAGGAAAAGTCGGCGGGCCACGGCCTCCAAAACCAAACAGCGGCGCACCCTCGCCGGCGGCGGCGGCGGCGGGCGGGCGACCAAGCTCAGGTTCCACTTTGGCATGCTCCTCTTCACCTGGCCAGGCGCATATGTTTGAGCATTCCGCCCACCTTTGCAAAGGCCAGAGCCGCAGCTTGCGCATGCCCATCGAGGACCCTCGTAGCTATCTTCAGCTGCCCTTACACCTGCATGTTAACCCCCTTGAACTTAGTCTGCTGCGCCCGCAGAGCCCTTGGGGCCCGGCCAGGCCTAGGCATGCTAATGGCAACCGCCCCTGCCCGCTGGTGCCCCTGCCCGCGCGCTACCAGCGATGGTGCAAAACAAGCGAGAACAGCAGCAGCTGATAAAGTGGAAGCAGGCAGCGGCTTGCCCCATCAGCGTGTGGTTTCAAAGGGCATGTGCAGCAACGCAGGTGGCGACAGCCGTGGTTAGATGAAATGCATTCAGCTGATGCCTATCGCGTCGGGCGAAATCAGCATGCAGCGGCGACATGCTCCGGGACCCATGCATCGGCGGGTAGTGACAGGTGGTGCTCACAGGCGAAGTATCAAAGTATCGTTCGCAGCAGAAACTCCCTGTTACAGCTCCTCATGATAAGCCATGCATATGCATGTCAGTTTTCATGCGAATTGGGCCCGCGCTCGTGTAGCCTGCTGGGGAGAGAGGGATCTTCGTCGAGAGAGAGCTCCAAATCTGTCCCGCGACTGTACTTCCACGAAGAACGTAGGTCTCTCATATCGCGTTCAATCGGGTTCCAGGCTCGTTCATTGCACCAGCCAGGGTCGTGTACTAGGCACCTCCGCCTCACGTTGTGCAGCATGGCGGAGCGCAAGCCCGTCGTCAGGTCGTCGGACATGGCCGAAGACCTCCAACAGGATGCAATCGCGACGGCGCAGCAGGTGGCAATGCCGCAGTCAACTCCCCGCCGGCCAGTCAAACTTACAGCCCGCCCGCTGCTTGCCACCTACCTAAACCTCCTGAGGCTAAACGGGGCCAGGAAGTGGCGCGGCCGCCTGGAATTGCCTGGGCGAGCAGGGCACCCAGGCAACCAGCGCGGTGCACAGGCGGACGGCGCCGGCGCCCACCTGTCGACTTCATAATGCATCATTCTGCTCCCACGCAGGCGCTGGACAAGTTCACGATAGAAAAGGATGTGGCGGCCTACATCAAGAAGGAGTTTGACTCCAAGCACAACCCAACCTGGCACTGCATCGTGGGCCGGAACTTTGGTGCGCTGCCGACCGGCCAACCAACCGGTGTAGGAACTAGCTTTTGGCCGTTCAGACAGAGCGATACACGCTCCTCGCGGGACTCTCTGAGCACGGGGCTGCCAATCTTTGCGGTGCAGGATCCTATGTTACCCACGAGACCAAGCACTTCATTTACTTCTACTTGGGCCCTGTGGCTGTGCTGCTCTTCAAGAGCGGATGAGCTGGCGTGGGGCTGCTTTGCTCCACTGCTCAAAACTCACCCACACTGGCCAAAGGTGTCACCCTGGAAGTAACAGGTGCAAACAAACTTCACAAACCACGCAGCCAGACAGAACTTCGTAGCTCAGCAGTCGCATACTTCTTCCCGCCATGCCCATTCAATACAGGCTTGGGGGACAGGGCAGCGTGTGCAGCTTCAGCGTGCCACCCCGTCTGCGATGGCAAGGTGAAGGGTGTGTACAAACTTTGCCTGTAAGGCATGGGAAGGTTGATAGGCCACAATGTGTCCTGCCGGCAGCCCCCTACCGCCTTTACCCGCCAGCAGCGAAAGGTCGCCCTGCAAACAGTATGAGAAGAGAGACGACGAGTCACAAGGTCTGTGCAGACAGAAGCCACCGGGGCCCTCTGCCAGCCAGCAGGCATCCATCCTGCTGACACAGCAGCCTGGAAGGTCCAAGTTCATGGTAACAATGCTTACCAGCAGGTCGACGGCAGCATGGCGGGCAGGCTCATCGCTTGGGAAGCGCACCATGGTGGCATCCATCCTGCATGGCGAAGCCAAAGAACTTGTTGTGCATTGCACGATGAGGATGATATCACAGCCACACGCGGGGGCGGGCCTGATACGCCCTCGAAAAAAACATGCAGCTGGCATACAGCCTGCGACTGTGCAGTGCTGCCATTTTGTTTTGAATTTCTATCGCCAGTGCTAGACAGAAGCAGCGAGCGCACCAATCATCTTTGTTGCCAATCAAGCTCACATAATCGGGTCCGCCTTGCAATAGGCCCACTGCCATTAGGGCCTCCACAGTCTGCACAATGGGTGAGCGGGCAGGCTGGATAACAGGACGACAATGCAGTACCTGCATCGCTGCTAGTGTTCAACAGCACGCATCACCAAATCGTTCCCCACCAGGACAGCATGTCCAGATTGAGATACCTCAGCAGATGGGTAACAAGTTCGCGCTGGGGCCAACGCCACACAAAAGTGGTCCTTGCCGTGATGCCCTGGGTCTTCTGGGCTCCAAGTGAACCATTGTCGCCCAACAACTGGGGCCGCGGCCGAGCAGTCCACACCAACTGCACACGGGCAGTGGCTTGGTAGGGAGCGGGGGTGGACCGATTACTTGTAACTTGTAATGTGGGATGGTGTGGGGTGGGTGGGGGGCTAAAATCGGGTCGGGGCACTTGTGCCTACTGTGCACATAAGCTTAGTACCAAAGAAGGAGCCAAGAGGCCGCAGAAAACGATAGGAACTTGCCCGACACGCGCGCAGATGGCCCAGGGTAGTAGGTGATGAATGCCTCGCCATCTCGCACGGTAACTTCCTGCAGCCCAGAGCATTCCCAGCTCATGCTGGCAGCCTGGCATGTTCAGTCCCAGCACACAGTCAAGCAGGTGGTGCCTGCGCGCCTGGCACAGTGAATGAGTTCTCCTGGGTACTACAGCGTCAGAGCTTGCCGCAGCAGGAGCTGCGCGAAGTCCAGCACGTTGCACCTCCGTTGCCCACCCTAATGCCGAGCCATCCACAATAGGAACCTCTGCATCTCGTGCAGCAACAAAAGGTGCTACCTATGTACTTTCTGCTTTCCAGGAGAGGGCATAATTTAGTGTTGCGCTTCTGTTCAGCAGTCGATTGCGGCTCTTGCCTTTGCCACCCTCAATCTCGATGCGTGCATCATCCACACCGCAGCACTCTAGTGCAGCCAGCAGGTGCTCCGCACCCCAAACGGCGCTGTCGCCCCGTGCCAAGACCATGCACCAGCGGTGCCCCTGCTGCAAGTTGCCCACATGCGCCTGTAGGCGGGCTTCACCAGGCTGTCCCCACGAAGGCTGCGCGCGGGAAGGGCAGCATCAGACTGTCAGGTGCCCGGCTGAGAAGCGAGATGGGAAACGTCCCAGCTGGACCTTGGGCTATTCAACCTCTTTGTTGACAACACACCCTGCAAGAAGCTCTGCCACCTGACCTGCTCCTCTTCCAGCAGCTCCGACTCTGCCTCAATCAACAGGGTGTCGGGCGACAGGGATCTGCGCTGTTGCAAGTAGTCAGCAAATGAGCCAGAAGCGATGCCCGTGTCTTCCTTCTGCTGGTGCAATAGCGAGGGAGCAGCACATGGTGAATCAGTGGGCTTCGGCAGGCTTAGCACGGTGCTATCACTGCAACAGGTAGGGCCCGTGACCCCTGGCTTCTGGATCCCGTCTAATCTCATGCCGCCCCTGGGAAAGTTACCTCCAGAAACTCAAAAAACAGCTTGGCATGCAGGCCGTCTTCACCGCCGTCTTTCATGAGCTTGGCCCCGGCGCTGGCCTCTGCAGCCTTGCAGGCTTGCTTGAGATGGATTGATTGTGTGCGGGGGGGGGGGGGGGGGGGGGGGGGGCCCCCCCGGGCCCGGGGCA